TTCTGTGAATATACCACGGGCCACTCATTTACAACAGTGCATTTGAGGCTGGGCGCCAGAGGCTCCCAATTTTGATCCTACCTACTGGGGATGCTGAGTCTGGGAGGCTGACAGTTCCTTGAGAGTCCTCGGCCCACGGCCGGGTGTGGCAGTACATGGCTGCTAGCCCAGCTACACAGGATACTTAAGATTGGGAGAACCATGGTTCCAAGCCTACCTGGATAAAAAAGCGAGACCCTATTTCAAAAAATAGGGTAAAAAAAGGCCAGAGGTATGGCTCATCAGTAGAGCACCTTCTTAGCACCTGTGAGACAGAGGTCACATTCCAAAAGAATAAAGTAAACTTTATATAACATAAATTATTACATAAATTTTAATTCAACTAAAAATACTGTTAAAACAAAAAACAACAACAACAACAAAAACTTACTGCCAGGCACTGGTGGCTCATGCTTATAATCCTAGCTACTCAGGAAACTGAGATCTGAGGATTGCAGTTCAAAGCCAGCCCAGGCAGGAAAAATCGGTGAGACTCTCACCTTCACCAAAAATATGTAAGTGACTTCTGGCTCAAGGGTTAGAGTACTAGACTTGAGCAAAAAAGCTCAGGTACAGACAGGACCCAGGCCCTGAGTTCAAGTCTCAAAACCAGCACACACACAGAAAAAGAACAACTAAAGTGCTGCTGAAAATATGGAGAAACTGTAATCTTCACACATTACATAATGTGTGAACTGTAATAGTAGCGCAGATGCTGAGGAACACAGTCTAGCAGGTCCTTAAGTTATACAGTTCCTCATGACCCAGCAATTCTACTTTACATACTTTACCAAGGGACCATGAAAGCAACATTCACACAAGAGCCGGTGCACACGCTCCCAAGTAGCCTTATTCAAAACAGCCAAGAAGCTGCTGTCCTGGCCTCATTTGGCTTTTTTTTTTTTTTTGGGGGGGGGGCAGTGGGTGTGGTGGGTGGGGTTATGGGGTTTGAACTTGGGTGCTGTCCCTGAGTTTTTTCGGTCAAGGCCTACCACTTTGAGTGACAGCACCACTTCTGGTTTTCTGGTGGTTAATTGGAGATAAGTATAATGAACTTTTCTGCCAGGGCTCAAACCATGATCCTCACATTTCAGTCTCCTGAATACCTAGGATTACAGGCATGAGCCACGGGCACCCAGCCACATCTGATATTCTTTTTTTATTTTTTTGGTCTGTCGGGGGGCTTGAACTCTGGGCCTGGGTGCTGTCCCTCAGCTCTTCAGCACAAGGTGAGCGCTCTACCGTTTGAGCCACAGTGCCACTTCTGGTTTTCTAGTGGTTTATGGGAGATAAGAGTCTCATGGACTTTCCTGCCAGGGCTGGCTTTGAACCACAATCCTCAGATCTCAGCCTCCTGAGTAGCTAAGATTACAGGTGTGAGCCACCGACGACCAGCACATCTGATATTCTTTTATTCTTTTTTTTTTTGGGTGGGGGGTCCGTTGTGGGGCTTGAACTCAGGGCTTGGGTTCTGTTCCTGATCCTCTTTGTGCTCAAGGCTAGTGATCTACCACTTAAGCCACAGCACTACTTCAAGTTTTTGGGTGATTAATTGGAAATAAGAATCTCACAGAGACTGCTAGTTTACTGGGGAAAAGAGTATCATGGGCTTTATCTAAAGCCCAGAGGGCTTCAAACTGCGATTCTCAGATCTCAGCCTCCTGAGTAGCTAGGATTACAGGTGTGAGCCACTAGAACTGATTCTGCAGTTTCCTTCAAGAAAAATTGTTTCTCCATTAACTACTATTTGCTTTATTTTTAGGTATGAATTTATTGTATTTTAAGGTTTTATTTTACTCAATGAAAGACATCTCCAATTTTCTGAGGAAGTATCAGAATTTATTATCCAGTTAGCTGCTCTAGAAGCGCTGGCTATTCACACAAAGCACCCAGCTCTGTAATGGTGTAGTCATGCTGCCTACTTCTGTGATTTAAGTTGAGCCTCACTTTAATTCCAGCGCTTAGAAACTGGAAACAAAAGTACACTTGCTGACAGAAGGGTGTTCTTAGGACTGGAAAGCCCGGGGAAACCAAAAAGGGGACATAGAAAAAGAAAATGGCTCTCACCAGCAGGAAAAGACACAACATCACACAGAAGGAAAACAAGCTCCGCATCAAGCCCAGCGGGGAAATGAGAAGTGTCATGCAAGTGATGTCAATACTAAAGCGGCAGAAGTTAATCCAGAAACACGCAGGAGTGTCTGATGATAAAGACATCTTCTGGAACCCATCTTTATGCAAACATTTCAACACAATCACTCCCTTCATGATTCCTATGCCAAACGTTCCACTGTGGGACAGGGCCCTGGCCAACATGAGGATGGGGGGGTGGGGGTGGAGAGGAAGAGAGGAAACTAGACAACTCCAACCACTTTATGAAAAGCCTGTTAAAAGGGAGTGAGGGAGAGAAACAACAATCAAACCACACAGGCCAACAACTGGAAAAGAGCTTGATTTACCACAGGATAAAGCCTGGTCTTACAATCTCTAAGAAAACAAGAATCATGAGGCCCTGCACTGTACAAAAAGTGTGTGTTTGTGGATTTTAAATTCTGAACACTTGCTTGCCCTTATGGTTTGCAGATCTGTGCCTCTCCTGGCCGTGGCGAGAGCCTTGCCGAGTACAAGGGTGTTGCGGCCCTGACAGCCGTCCACCCAAAAGGCCTGGACAGCAGGAAATGAGAGCTGTTTAGAAAAACAGGCCATTTCAGTCTTGGGCAGAAAAGGCACAGGAATATGGAACATCAAGCTGATGGGGATATAACGGAAACAGGAAACTCAAGCAGTCGGCTGGCTTGAAGCAGCACAAGTTGAACACTTTAAGATTAACTGGGATGGGGGCTGGGAAGGTGGCTCAGTGGTAGAGCGCTTGCCTTGCATGCATGAGGCCCTGGGTTCGATTCCTCAGCACCACATAAGCAAAAAGAAAAAAAAGCCGGAAGTGGCACTGTGGCTCAAGCGCTAGCCTTGAGCTGAGGAGCTGAGGGACAGCGCCCACGCCCAGAGTTCAGGCCCCACGACCGGACCCAAAAAAAAAAAAAGATTAACTAGGATGAACTGTAACATATACTGCAATTCAAGTTAATGATAGTCAACACCCTCACTGGCCATTCTGCAGTAGCACAGATCCATTTGGTTGATAATTGACACAAATGAAGAATCAGGTACTTATGTATCCTGTACTTTCTGTTTGGGTAATAATAATGATAAGGAAAAGTGACAAAATAGAACACCATTTTGTGCCCTCTAATGACCATAAGTCCAGACACTGAGCACCAGGAGCAGACTTGGAGCCTCCTGAGGAAGACATGGGCCAGGAGCCTGTCCTGAGGGCTCTGGGTCCACCCACCTGCCACAGGAAATACCCAGGCAGAGCACATGCTCAGTGCAAACCACCAAAGTTAGAGTGGCTCAGTGGTAGAGCGCTTGCCTTGCATGCCTGAGGCCCTGGGTTCCATTCCTCAGCACCACAGAAGCAAAAAGAAAAAAGCCTGAAGTGGCGCTGTGGCTCAAGTGGTAGAGCGCTAGCCTTGAGCTGAAGAGCTGAGGGACAGCGCCCAGGCCCAGAGTTCAGGCCCCACGACTGGACCCCCCCCAAAAAATTCTCAAGGTTGGGTGCTATTGGCTCACACCTATAATCCTAGTTACTCAGGAGGCTGAGATCTGAGGATTGCAGTTCGAAGCCAGTCCTGGCAGGAAAAGCTGTAAAACTTTTCTTCTCCCTTTTGTCGGTCATCGGGCTTGAACTCTGGGCCTGGGCACTGTCCCTGAGCACTTTTGCTCAAAGCTAGCACTCTACCACTTTGAGCCACAGCACCACTTCCAGTTTTCTGGTGGTTAACTGGATATATTAGTCTCAAGGACCTTCCTGCCAGGCTGGTTTTGAACTACCATCCTCAGATTTCAGTCTCCTTGAGTAGCAAGGATTACAGGCGTGAGCCACCAGCAACCGGCCTCTTATCTCCAATAAACCATGAGAAAACCAGAAGTGGCACTGTGGCTCAAAGTGGTAGAATGCTAGCCTTGAGCTAAAGAGCTCAGAGACAGGGCCCAGGCCCTGAGGTTCAAGTCCCATGACTGAGAGGAAAAAAAAAAAAAGCTCAAGATGCATTGTACTCAAATTGACTTGAACTAAAACTCCTTTGTACAATTATTTAAAGGTAACAGAAAATAAATTTAAGAAAAAGTAGCTATATATGAAATGCCACTTTTGATGCAAATATTTCATAATTCTTTAATATTCATCTTAATGTTCTACATATGAAGGCTTCTAATTTCAAGTAAAAATGCCACCTAATCACAAGTAGAGCTTAAAACACAAAATACTTTGTTCCCTTTCAAATTCTTATAGAATGACGATTAACAAGCAAACAGTTCACAAATCAAAAACGCACCCTTCTTCAGAGGGGATTGGGTCTCTGAGACAGGATATAAAGCATTACTCTAATGTCCAAACTTACTAAGTCATTCCTGTATCATAGGGGTCCTGTCTGCTCTTCTTAAAACTTAATGTAGGGTTAAAGTAGTTAAGAAGTAAGGTCAGATACAACCCAAAACACAGTGCCACAACTGCAGAAGATTCTCAAAACATCTGCTGAAGAAGGAAATTGCTAAAACCAAAAAATGAGTATATTTGGAATTAATTATTATTTTTTTTTTTTTTGGTCGGTTGTGGGGCTTGAACTCTGGGCCTGGGCGCTGTCCCTCAGCTCTTCAGCTCAAGGCTAGCACTCTACCACTTGAGCTACAGCGCCACTTCCGGTTTTCTGGTGGTTTAGTGGAGATAGGAGTCTCACGGTCTCTCCTGCCGGGGCTGGCTTTGAACCGCGATCCTCAGATCTCAGCCTCCTGAGTAGCTAGGATTACAGGCGTGAGCCACCAGCGCCCGGCAGAATTAGATTATTTTTATGCAAAGCACACAATAAAAAATGAGCTGAAGAATGGAACCTATGTAGCATTACCTGTGTGTCATAGGCTCCACGGAGATCTAGGGAACAGTGATCAAGGAGGAACTGAATCTCCACAAGCAAGAAGCAGCTGTGAAATCTTGCCCCTCTTCAACTGGAGTGGTGTCCCTTACCTGGAAAATAAGAGTAGTTCTTGGTCAACTCTTAGATGAATAAGTTTTTTTTTTTTTTCAGTAAGACTAAAAATTTTAAAAACAGATTTTCAAAAATATATATTTCTATAAAGTAATGTTTTCAACCACCCTATATTCACACATATTGTATGTTTTCTACATTCTTTTTTCTTTGTTTTGTGCTGGTAGCAGGGCTTCAAGTGACAGGGCCTACACATTGTCACTTACCTTTTTTTGCCAAGGATGGTGCTTTGCCAATGGAGCAACACCTCTATTTAAGCTTTTAGTGATTAATTGGAGAAACAGTCTCACAGACATGCCTGCTCCAGCTGGCTTTGAACTCCATCCTCAGATCTTAGCCTCCTGAGTAGCAAAGATTATAGGTGCCAGCCATTGGTGTCCAGCTTTTCCATTCTTTTTTTTTTTTGGTGGTCAGTCATGGGGCTTGAACTCTGGGCTTGGGCTCTGTCCCTCAGCTCTTCAGCTCAAGGCGAGCACTTTATCGCTTTAGCCACAGTGCCACTTCCGGTTTTCTGGTGGTTTATTGGAGATAAGAGTCTCACGGACTTTCCTTGCCCGGGCTGGCTTTGAACTGCGATCCTCAGATCTTAGCCTCCTCAGTAGCTAGGACTACAGGCGTGAGACCCCGGTGCCCAGCTTCTATTCTTTTTTGAAAAGAGTTTGTACTACAAAATCTGAATCATTTTTCCTTCTAAATCCCCTTTTATCAGGAAATATTACACACTACAGAAAAACATAGCAATTACAGCATCATTATGTTGTTATAGAGCAGGCACCACCCAGGCTGGGCCACAGTATTCCAGAAAGGCTGTGTGCCTCTCCCATCCAACCCTTTTACCTCTAAAAAACTACTTCTTAAGCTTTCCTTAGTTTTCTTACAGATTAATCACACAGCTGAGCAGTGCTACATGCACTGGGTTTTTTTTTATTTGCTTCAGAATTTTCTATCAGTAGACTCATTTGGTATATATTCTTTGTTCCTTTCTGTGTATCCATTGAGCAATATAAGACTTTACATCTGAAGTGGCGCTGTAGCTCAAGTGGTAGAGCCCCATGACCGACAAAAAAAAAAAAAAAAAGACTTTACATCTGTCAAATACTTCTATGGAGATTTAATTTTTTTTGGGGGGGTCCAGTTGTGGGGCCTGAATTCTGGGCCTGGGTGCTGTCCCTCAGCTCTTCAGCTCAAGGCTAGCGCTCTACCACTGAGCCACCTTCCCAGCCCTGCACCCTGATTTTTCACCAGGTGTAACTCCTCACTGAGAGCCCGCCAGCTTCTAGAGACTAATGGCAGACTGAGCCCAGGAAAGCCTGTCACAAGGGCCCTGTCATCACGAGTTCCCTGGCCAGAGGTGGCTGCCTTCTGAGACTACAAAACCCAGGTCGGTATGAATGAAAATTCTACTTTCCACATTAGGACATTCTTTCCCAAAGAACCAAAGTCTGAGCTGACGCTGCCACGTGCCACCTGTGAGTAGAGTTTGCTGTAAGTCAGCGCAAACTTGGAGAAAAAGGTAGAAGAAGAGGAAGAACCTTACCAACTGGAGCCATCTCCAGCCAGCCTGTTGCAAGTTTTCTAGCTGGATTGTCAGCAAATCATTTAAATTTTTTTCAGAAAGATACAATGATGTATTTAAAATACAATCTTTAATCTTGTACTCAAGGAACACTATCTAGATCAATGAAGGTAATACAACATGGACACGTATGCATACACACATTCCCAGTATTCCTTCATTTGCACGTCTGTCAACCTAAAAAGGAAATTGGGGGGATTATGATCTCACTAACAGAGCACACTACCCTGCAACTCACTATGTAGCCCAAGCTGCCCCCAATTCTCAATTTTACTGTCTCAGCCTCCAATGTGTCGGGGCACTGCCATGCCCAGCTCTTAAATGTTTTTAGTGGTTATAGGGATAAATTTTTATTTCTTATGTTGCATTTAATAAGTTACATTTTCCCAAGAATTATGTCTATACCTTTCAAATTTGTCAGCATGATGCTATTTCTAGTATCGATGTGATACTTTTTTTTAAAGACTATAAATATCCCTCTAAATATATCTTTGGGTGTATACTACAAATGCATTGTGTGTGTGTGTGTGTGTGTGTGCGTGCGCGTGTGCGCGCATGCGCGCGCGCCAGTCCTAGGACTTGAATTCAAGGCCTGGGCACTGTCCTTGAGCTCTTTTGCTCAAGGCTAACACTCTACCACTTTTGAGCCACCGCTCTACTTTTTTATTTTATTTTTTTGATGGTTAATTGGAGATAAGAGTCTCACGGACTTTCCTGCGTAGGCTGGCTTTGAACCACGATCCTCAGATCTCAGGCTCCAGAATAGCTACGATTACAGGCCTAAGACTGTAAGCTTGTTTCTGCGTAGTCCAGACTAGATTCAAACCTCAGACCTTCTTGCTTTAGCCAGTTCAAGTGTTAGGATTACAGGCATGTAACATCATGCCCAGCCCAGGGTTTGAACTCAGGCCTGTGTCTGTTCAGCCTTCTTGTACGGCACTCTGCAAAGCCTGAGCCGCACCGTCAACTCTGCCTTTACTGATTATTTTGGAGATGGCACCCTCACGGCCTCTTCTGCCCAGGCTGGCTTTGAATCACAAGCCTCTAAGTCTGCTTCTTGAGTAATAAGGATTACGGCTGTGAGCTACTGGCACCAGCAATTTTCTTCTTAACTAAAAAGTTTTTTATAGGAATAAAGTTAGTGGAAAAAACAAAGATAATGAAATTAAAAGTTATAACTTTATGAAAGCATTGTCTAGAACTCATGGTACTCCATTTAACTGTCAGATGTCCATTGAAATTCACAAAAACACAACTGCTCCTCAACCTGGCCTTTGAATGTGGGTCTATCCCACACAGTGGCTCCACCTCACCCTGACTGTCTTCATCTGGGTTTACTTTTTTTTTTTTTGTCAGTCGTGGGGCTTGAATTCTGGGCCTGGGCGCTGTCCCTCAGCTCTTCAGCTCAAAGCCAGTGCTCTACCACTTAAGCCACAGCACCACTTCCAGTTTTCTGAGTGGTTTACTGGAGATAAGAGTCTCATGGACTTTCATGCCTGGGCTGGCTTTGAACTGTGATCCTCAGATCTCAGCCTCCTGAATTGCTAGGATTACAGACGTGAGCCACCAGCGCCGGGCTCTGGGTTTACTCTTGAGCTGTCTGTCAAACACTATCCTCTGGGCTCCACTCTAGTGTTCTAGTTGTGACATTATCTACTGTTTGCCATGAGACTCTGGGTTTTACTCAAGTGCATGCATCTGTAGAGCAAGGATTGTGCTCAAGAGATACCTGGGCCCAGCATCTAGCCAGGTACCAGCACACAGAGCAGACATTTCCTGACTGTGGAATTAACCTTTTCTGGAACTCTTCCTACCCAGTGAAACTGGCCAAATCTCCTCCAGCCCCAGCCCGGTGAGGACACCCTTCACACTACTGTTAACTAAGCCTGTGCTCGCTCTCTCCTGCCTTCTCTCTCCCACCCGGCTAACTTTCTGACAGACAGGGTCTCATTCAGGTTCACATCCTCAGCACTCAGAATAAAACTAACACACAGAAAGTATTTCATAAGCTGTAGCTTTATTAATTTATTCCTTACAATTATGAATATTTTTTCTTTTGTCGGTTATAGGGCTTGAACTCTGGGCCTGGGTGTTGTCCCTCAGCTCTTCAGCTCAAAGCTAGTGCTCTACCACTTGAGCCACAGTGCCACTTCCGGTTTTCTGGTGGTTTATTGGAGATAAGAGTCTCACAGACTTTCCTGCCCGGGCTGGCTTTGAACCGCGATCCTCAGATCTCAGCCTCCTGAGTAGCTAGGATTACAGGCGTGAGCCACCAATGTCCAGAAACTTTTCTTTTTTTCTTGGTCCATTAGAGAAATGAGGAAGCTGCAACACAAAGATTCACTCCCTGGATTCTATGTTCTTTACTACATCTGTTTGGACAGTGACCACATCAACAAAAGCATGCCAACGAATTGTGCTGTAAGAATCAGCAAACACACCATTACCTCAAATTTGCTCTGTACGCTTCTCAATGATTTTAAAACAACTGCTGAGTGACTAGGATGATATTTACTAATTTGCCCAAAGCTCAAGACTGAAACCTAGGTCCTCAAGGATCAGTACTCCTTTCATGGTGACTGACCAAGGTATCAGTCACAGTAAAGACTTATAAATTCAAACACTACACCATACCCAGATGCAAAATACATACCTCAAAATTCCCAAATATTGCCAGGTGCTGGTGGCTCACACCTGCAATCCTAGCTACTCAGGAGCCTGAGATCTGAGAATTGCAGTTCAAAGCCAGCCCAGGCAGGAAAGTCTATGAACGTCTTATCTCCAATTAATCACAGAAAAAGCCAGAAGTGACACAGTGGCCCAAGTGGTAGAGTGCTAACATTGAGCAAAATAAAAAAAGTTACAGGATAGCACCTAAGGCCAGAGTTTGAGCTCCAGAACCAGTGCACGCACATATTGGCACACACGCGCGCATTCAGACACACTTACGCTTAAATATCGCTGTTTAACAGATGTGCATGTCCCATGTTAAAACCATCTTTTCTCGTTGTTTTGGGTTTCGGCTCTGGCATGGCTTGTTTGCTCTTTGCTTTGGACAAAGCAGGAAGTTCACCGTAACCTTACAGCTGACTGTAGAGCACGTTTCATGGAACCAAAGCCATTTCTGACTTTGAGGAAGATACTACGTGATTATACTAAAGTAAAGTTTCTCGCATTATGTAAACAATTTGCTTAAATCCTACTACCTGTTTTTCAAACCTTCGGAATTGAGTTCAGGGTCTAGCACTCTTGCCTGGCTTTTTCTGCTGCTCAAATTGGCATTCTACCACTCTAGCTACACCCTCCACATTTTTTTGTGCTGGTCCTGGGGCTTGAACTCAGGGCCTGGGCACTATCTCTGAGTTTTTGCTCAAGGCTAGCACTTGAGCCATTTGAACCATAATTCCACTTCTAGCTCTTTGGTGCTTAATTGCAGACGCTAGTTTCCTGAGTAGCTAGGATTATAGGCGTGAGCTGTTGGCACTTGGCCAAATTGTCATTTTTAATTGACTATCAGCTTTTTCTTGATAAATCAAGATACTGTCCTCTTTCAACTAATGAAATTTTTCTTTTTCTAAGCCAAAGAACCATTTTAATGAGATTATGCTATTGAATTCAATTCTGGTATATAACATGCTTCTAATATTCGAGCCTGCTTCATAATGCAGAGACACAGAACTGCCCCCAAACATTTACCATGTGGCCGTCCTGGTCCAGCAGTAGGACCGTGCCATTGCTTCTGTCCACAGTATCACCTCTGTGTGTACACGAGTAGGCACGAAAGAGTGCCCATGTGCCCATGGGAAGGCTGGCGAAAGTGTTCAGTACATGAGTATGGCAAGGGGAGAGTGGGTAGACATGCTAAACACTTGAACTCAGCCAATGTGCATCAAAACCCCTGCGCTCCCTTCTCCTGATGGGAGATATGCTCGAGATGTTCTTTCTGCCTACAGCACAGCCTCTGCCAGTCACATTCCCATGACATCCCCTCCCCCTCCACCATGAAAACCTGCATGTTTGGGTTTTTTTTTTCAAACAAATAATGGGTTTCAATATAATATATTTACCACTCCAAATAGTGTCCCTTATATGTTCATATCTTTTTGTTTGTTTTTGGATCTAGATTCCAGATATGAAAGAAAACATCCTGTATTTGTCTTTCTCCCTTTCTCTTTCTCTCCCCCTCCCTCCTTCCCACCTTCCTTCCTTCTTTCTTTTGTTCTGTCAGTTGTGGGGCTTGAACTAAGGGCCTGGGCACTTGAGCAACAGTGCCACTTCTGGTTTTTGAGTGGTTAACTGGAGATAAATCTCAGGGGCACTTTTCTGCCTGAGCTGGCTTCAAACCACAATCCTCAGATCTCAGCCTCCTGAGTAGCTAGGATGACAGCCGTGAGCCACGAGCACCCAACAGTCTATATTTGTCTTTCTGAGTCTGACTTATTTCCCTTAACATGATTCTCTCCAGTTCTAACCATTTTTCCTGTAAATGGTATAACTTCATTCTTCTTCATGGCTAAATAATACTACATTGTATATATAATTCATAACATAGGCTAAGCCTATTGCTTGGCTTTGACATACTAACTTTGATTCCTTTGGATATAAGCCCAGGAGTGGCACAGCAGGATCATAGGGTAGTTACTTCTATTTGCCAAGGAACCTGAATACTGATTTCCATAAGGCCCAGACTACTTTACATTTCCAACAGTGTAAAAGAGTTCCTCTTTTTTCCTCACATCTTTACCAGCAAAAACCTAGTTTAAAGTTCACATCTACCTAAGCCTAAACATGAACCCATAATGCATGTAACCAATGTTTCAGAAATGCTGCAGCCTTGGGGGTGGGGGGAGGATTGGGCGGGGGAAGCTTGGAAGGGATGGGAAGGGGAAACAAAGGAGGAGGCTACAATGCTTGATAAGAAATGTACTCATTATCTTGCCCATGTAATTGTAACCCCTCTGTACAGTTTTTTCACAATAGAAAAAAAAATGCTGCAGCTAAAGCTACCAGCAACCTTCAGTTTACCAATTTCCATCTTAGACCTGAATTCATGCTAGAGGACTCAAGACATGTAGGTCTACAATTATACCCTAATATCCTAATCTTTCATTTTGGGCCACAGAATAAATTAATAGTCCATCATTTCAGGTCAGTGAAAATATTCTAAATGAACTGGTAGTGATGCTGCACAATGTGAATGAGTAACCTGACTAATAGGGTCAAGTTTGATATGCAAATTACTCAGTTATCAAAAACATTTGTTTTCTTCTTCTTTTTTTTTTTTTTGGTCTGTCATGGGACTTGAACTCTGGGCCTGGGCGCTGTCCCTCAGCTCTTCAGCTCAAGGTGAGAACTCTACCTCTTGAGCCACAACACTACTTCCAGTTTTCTGGTGTTAATTGGAGATAAGTCTCATGGACTTTCCTGCCTAGACTAGGTTGGAACCACGATCCTCAAATCTCAGCCTCCTGAGTAGCTAGGATTACAGGCATGAGCCCCCGGCACCTGGCTTCCTTAAGGTTTTTATTTTGCTCAAGGCTAGCACTCTACCATTACTGAAGATAAAAGTCTCCAATACATGTATGAGCCATGGACATCCAGCTTAAAACATTTATTTTTTAAATGCCTGATTATCAAAAGAGTACAAACTCTGCATGTTTTAATCTCTTAACACAGCAATGTTAAAACGAAACCTCCATCATCTAATATCCATGAATGAAGCACTAAGAATTTTAGGAACTAGGCTATAGAACAAATGGCCCCAAAATGTAGCACAGGAACCCACACTTGTTATGTCCCTGGACTTGTGGTTCAGAGATCTGGACAGAGCAGAGAGGATGATGGTCAGTCTGCTTCAGTGCCTTGACTGAAAAACATAAAGCTACAGTCACTTGAAGGACCATTCACTCAACTGCTGGGTGGCTGCTGAACTGCAGGCCTTGCCACATGGCCTTTCCATGTGGACTAGATGAACTTCCTCCACATGGCAACTAGATCTCCCTACAGCAAATATCCCAAAAAGAGAAGCCAAGCAAAAACTGTGTCCCATTCAAGACCTAACTCAGAAGTTACCCAGAGACTCTCTCCCGTGACAGGGTCATTCCCACCCTAGGTTCACAACAGAGGAACAGGAACTCCATCTATTTGTGAAAATCCCACATCAGAACATGTAGATGGGGCTGGGAAGGGAAGGTGGCTTAGAGGTAGAGTGCTTGCTGCCTAGCATGCATGAAGCTCTGGGTTTGACTCCTCAGTACCATGTAAACAGAAAAAGCCAGAAGTGGCGCTGTGGCTCAAGTGGCAGCGTGCTAGCCTTGAGCAAAAAAAGCTCAGGGACACTGTCCAGGCCTGAGTTCAAGCCCTAGGACTGGCAGAGAGAGAGAGAGAGAGAGAGAGAGAGAGAGAGGATGCCAGTTGCTTATATCTGTAATCCTAACTACTCAAGAGGCTGAGATCTGTGGAATCTGTTTTGTTTTTGTTTTTTGTCAGTCATGGAGCTTGAACTCTGGGTCTGGGCGCTGTACCTCAGCTCTTCAGCTCAGGGCTAGTGCTCTACCAGTTCTGGCTCTTTCTGCTTATGTGGTGCTGAGGAATTGAACCCAGGGCCTTGTGCATACAAGGTAAGCACTCTACCACTGAGCCACCTTCCCAGCCCCTGAAGAACATGTTTTGAAACCAGCCTGGGCTTTCCGGAAAGTTCATAAGACTCAGACCTCCAATTAACCACCAAAATGTTGGAAGTAGAGCTGTGGGCCAAGTGCTAAGAATGTTAGCTTTGAGTGAAAAAAAAACCGTAAAGAATAGCACCTAAGCCCTTAGTTCAAGCCCCAGCACTGACACAAAACAAAACAAAAAGAATATGTAGTACAAGAAATGTCACTGGGGCCATTAGTCATACTAAGTGAGCTACAATAAAATCTCAACTTCCTGGCTGGGCGCTGGTAGCTAATGCTTGTAATCCTCGCTACTCAGGAGGCTGAGATCTGAGGATCACAGTTCAAAGCCAACTCCAGCAGAAAAATCTGTGAGACTCTTATCTCCAATTAACCACCAGAAAACCAAAAGTAGCATTGTGGCTCAAAGTGGCAGAGGGCTAGCCTTGAGCAAAAAAGCTCAGGGACAGGGGTTGGGAAGGTGGCTCAGTAGAGCGCTTGCCGTGCATGCATGAGGCCCTGGGTTCGATTCCTCAGCACCACATAAGCAAGGGAAAAAAAGCCGGAAGTGGCACTGTGGCTCAAGTGGTAGAGTGCTAGCCTTGAGCTGAAGAGCTGAGGGACAGTGCCCAGGCCCAGAGCTCAGGCCCCATGACCGGACCCAAAAAAAAAAAAAAAAGCTCAGGGTCAGGGCCCAGGCCCTGAGTTCAAGCCCCATGATCAAAAATAATAATAATAACAACAACAACAATAAAATCTCAATCTTCTCTAAACACTGGAAATAATAAGCCAGGGTTAACAAGAATTTGGCTAGAAAAATTAATTAGCATTACAAACACTTGTAAGCTAACATAATAAATCAGTTGTGATTTGTAAGCAAATCTACAGTCACTCTGTTATCTTGCTTTCCTAAGTTCAGTTTCATGACCTTCATTTAACTGGTGGTGAGTCTGGTTTGCCGAGGGGCTGCTGGGCACTGCAGCCTCTCTACAGGGCACAGAGCACAGCAAGCAGGCAGACCACACTCGGGTGTGCAAGTCCTCTCCTACATGGTATGCGGTCTGAAGGCAGAGGTCATGTTCTTCACCTGATTTTACAGCTGCCTCCAGCACTGAGTATAAAAGTTTGATAAATGACCCAAGAAAGGGAAGATGGGGTGTTTCAAAATTCTTAACTAGAAAGCTCTGTCACAGGCCTGTTATGACAGGCCTCTTTCTGACAAAAGGAAAACAAACAATGAGCCGAGAGCAAACCTTGTCTGTCAGGAAAGTGATCCTCAGGAGACTAGAGAGCCAGGAGCCAGGTTTCTGATCCTAAATCTGGTTCTGACTTGCTTTGGGATCTTAACCAAGTGGCATAACTTCTTTGGGCCTCAGTTTCTTCATCTGTAAAATAAAGGGATAGGAGTGAATAATTCCTTCCTTTTTTCAACAGTACTAGATTGTGAACTGAGAGACCCTGCCTGCCAGTCAGGGGCTCTTCCATCTACCAAAGTCACACCCCAGCCCTTAGCTATCGATAAAATAGGACCTTGCATTTTTGCCCAGGGCTGACCCTGACCTCAATCTTTCTACCTACCATAGCACCAGGCCCAGCTTATTTGATATGAAGTCTACTTTTTGCCCAGGTTAGACTGACTCCATCCTCTTTACTTCCTCTTCCCAAGCAGCTCTGATTATAGGCACGAGTCACAGCACCTGACCTAGACAAAGATTCTTCAATGAAGCCACAACAATACAGCTACTGACACAGACCTGAAAGACTAGCCTTCCTCCAAGTTTAACTGTATGAGCAGAGCACCGACCAACAAAAGAATGAACTATCACCAGTGGCTCATGCTTGTCATCCTAGCTAATCAGGAGGCTGAGATCTGAGGAGTATGGTTCAAAGACAGCTTGGGTAGGAAAGTCTGAGATTGTTATCTCCAATTAAGCAAATGGTAAAATACTAACCTTGAATAAAAAAACCACTCAGGGACAACACCCAGGCCCTGAGTTAAAGCTCCAATACCAACAAGAATCCCAAATGAATGTGAAAATGTCCTACTGGCCAAGGAATCACCACCTTGGCAGACATCATTCTTGTAGCTCCAGGTTTCTAATCTCAGATCTCTTAAAAGAAGTTTCAGCCGGGCGCCGGTGGCTCATGCCTGTAATCCTAGCTACTCAGGAGGCTGAGATCTGAGGATCGAGGTTCAAAGCCAGCCCGGGCAGAAAAGTCCATGAGACTCTTATTTCCAATAAACCACTAGAAAACCAGAAGTGGCACTGTGGCTCAAGTGGTAGAGTGCTCGCCTTGAGCTGAAGAGCTGAGGGATAACTCCCAAGCCCAGAGTTCAAGCCCCACAACCAAAAAAAAAAAAAAAAAGTTTCAATTTGGTAATGTCAATGTAGTCTAAATGTTCAATAGGAAGTAATTTCAAAGAAACTAAGCAATAAACAAAAAATGATCTTTTGTTATGAAAACAGTAAGCCCTTATTCATTATCTTCAAGTTTTTTGTATTTGTGTGTGTGTGTGTGTGTGTGTGTGTGTGTGTGCGTGCGCGCGCACGCACCATTCCTGGAGCTTGAATTCAGGGTATGGGCACTGTCCCTGAGCTTTTTTGCTTAAAGCTAGTATTCTACCACTTGAGCCACAGCTCCACTTCTGGCTTTTCAGTGGTTATTGGGGATAACAATCTCACAGATTTTTCCTGCTGGCTTCGAACCACAATCCTCATATCTCAGCCTCCTCAGAGTCATGGATTTTCCTGCATGAACTGGTTTTAAACCACAATCCTCAGATTTGGCCTCCTGAGTAGCCAGGATTACAGGCATTTATCACCAGTACCTGGCTTAACCTTGAACATATTTTTTAAAGACTTTTTTCTATTAGCATACTTTAGTTGTGCAAAGGGAAGTTCACTGTGACATCTCCAGGCATATACACAACGCACCCTATCAACTATACCTTTTCTATCACTCTCCTGTAGCCCCTTCTTAAAATAATTTCAATGGTTTCATTGTTCTCTTTTCTTTTTTTTTTTGTCGGTCGTGGGGCTTGAACTCTGGGCTTGGGCGCTGTCCTTGCGCTCTTCAGCTCAAGGCGAGCCCTCTACCGCTTAAGCCACAGAACCACTTTCAGTTTTCTAGCAGGGTTTATTGGAGATAAGAGTCTCATGAACTTTCCTGCTCAGGCTGGCTTTGAACCACGATCCTCAGATCTCAGCCTCCTGAGTAGCTAGGATTACAGGCTGGTGGCTCACACCTATAATCCTAGCTATTCAGAAGGATGAGATCTGAGGATCGCGGTTCAAAGCCAGCCCGGGGAAGGGGAAGGAGAGTCCACTAGAAAACTGGAAGTGGTGCTGTGGCTCTAGCGGTAGAATACTAGCCTTGAGCTGAAGAGCTGAGGGACAGCGTCCAAGCCCAGAGTTCAAGAACCATGATCAATCAAATAAATAATTACACGCACACAAACTGTTCACTATATTCATTCTCTCCTCCCTCCTGCTGATAACTACTTCCTCCCCCACCAAAGAGCCTGTTTTACTCTTCTGTCAATTTTCTTTTTAATTGGTCGTGGGGCTTGAACTCTGGGCCTGGGGGTCGTCCCTCAGCTCTTCAGCTCAAGGAAAGCACTCTACCACTTGAGCCACAGTGCCACTTCCAGTTTTCTGGTGGTCAATTAGAGATAAGAGTCTCACGGAGTTTCCTGCCTGGGCTGGTTGTGAACCATGATCCTCAGATCCCAGCCTCCTGAGTAGCTTGGATGACAAGCATGAGCCACTGGTGCCTACCTTAAATTTTTTAATATATTAATCATACGAAGAAATTTCACTAGGACATGTTCTTTCTAATGTGAGTCTCCCTCCACTAAACCAACGGTGATGACACCCTAGACATAAACAGGCAGGGTTGCCTCCCAGAAAGTGAGGGTCTCTGGAGCTTCGGGTATGTGCCTGGACAGAGTGCTTCAGACATACAGACAGCCTGCCAGAGTCACAGCAACACTCTGCTGCGACGATCTTTTGCGGGCATCAGGTAGGTACTCCCAGCCCGAGGGAGTCACACACAAACCAGCCCCAACCTGAGGCCAAACCATCTGTGAACCAAGGAACCAAGAGGCAAGATGTCACCGGAGAAAAATCTGAGCTGAATGGCCAACTCTGGTATGCAAAGAGAAAGGACATGCGTCCCATCAACAGCCAAATTCATTTACACTAATCATGAATAGCCAAATTTATTTACACTAATTGTGAATGCAGGCCCTCAGCTGGAAAATCTCACTTGAAATGCCAGAAGGTTGAGCCCATTCATATGCTTTTCAAAATTCCTGCAGTTGCCATGGTAACCTTGACATTGTATTTTTGGCATTGGACATGTAGAATTACTACCCATAATGCACTTAATACAGTTTGGGGCCACCAATTCACAGCAAAATAAATCTGAGTTCAGACTCTTTTCCTCCCTCTCAGATAAACAAAAAGGAGCAGCTGGAGGTAGTACCCACATACCCCACCGACAAGCTCTGAGCCCACACCTGACAAAATGCCCTGCTGAAAGCAGAATAAACACTCTGGGAACTGGACCTCCTCACCCTAAATTACCATACGGCGGGACTCATAAGAAGGAAATGTCCCCGCCAGATTCATGAAATTGTCACTGTTCAAAAGAAACAAACATGTTAAAATTTTTAGCTACAGCACTGAAATGCAATTCTGTGTAGAAGGACAAAGAAAAACACACAGAGCTTTTCTAAGAACACATTTACTAATCCATTTAGAGGACACTGTCCACACTGAGTAAGATAATCCTTCAAATGTCACAATTATTACTAAAATAACAAAAATAAAGTTTTATTTCTTAGGTTTAGAAGGGACTTAATGACTAATTAATCATAATGCTTTGATGTGGAATATTCCTGAACATTTAAAATACATGCAGGATTTTAAAAGTCCCTTACCTTTGTATAATCCACCATCTGAACAGAAAAATGAAAAAATTATTGGGCACCAACTGCAAAGCCATACTCGATGCACAGGAAAGCCCACTGCACCAGAACCTCAGGGTTGCAGGACAAGGCTATGCTTGCTACGGCACTCACACAATTACCAGCCTACCTCTGACTGCTGAACCGCAGGTCCAGGGCAGAGCTGCCTCCCGCAGCTCCTCCTTCAGCTCCCAGGAAGCAGTGTGAAGGGGAGTAAAAGACTCCACCACGGGCGGTTTCCATATTTACAGAGACTTTGATAACCGCTGCATTGCAGTCTTTCTGAAAGCTACTAACCTTAGGAGCAACAGCGCAGATGAGAGACTCCCCAGCAGAGGAAGCTGCCTTTGGAATCACACGGATTTTTAAGGATCTTTTTAAAGTGTTACCAACTCCTGGGGATATTTCTAGATTTCCAATCTGTTTCCTACAGGTTGATTGGTTTGAGGTTTTTACTGGAGGATGGCTATGGCAGTTGGTCGTACTGGGTGCAAATGCTGAAGTGGATGTAATGTGCATTGTGACACACACCCATTAATGCGCGAGCACTCCCTGCACATCTGCTGAACTCCAGCTTCACAGCCCCTGCAGAGAGCTCGTAGGAGTAAACCACGGTTTTCAACACATGAAAAATGCAAGCACAGCAAGCATGTCTAGCTCAGATGCAGGCAGCAACCACCCAGACACCCAGCTACCTCCCAGTGTGGTACAAACCATGATGTGCTCAGAGCACTTGAAATAGTAAACCTATTAGATTCATAACAAGACTTCTGAAACAGCACGGTCACTAAACCACCTCCATTCATTTGTTCATTCATTCATGCATTTATTCAATACACTAGCCACTTGCTCTATGTAAAAGGACACGTAAGTTAGAGGTTGCAGAGAGCGAGGACAAGTACTACAGACAGGGCCAGCACACAACAGGAGGGGGAGTGGAGCAACCCTGGGGACGCAGCCAGGAGTTAGGACCAGCCCCACGGGGAAGGAGCACTTGATGGGAGTGAAAGGATATTCTGATCCTTTCCGCTGGGCCTGGAACAGGGGGGAATGAGGATAAGCATCCTTTTCCGGATCCTCAACAATGGTGCACAGGCTCTCTTCTGTCCCCCAGACCTCACAGCAGCTCTGCACACGCACAACAGACACACACTGAGTCACATGCATGCCCGAGGCATGAAGGGGCTGAAAGGAGGTGCAGAATCTGCAGGTGGTAGCAGCTGTGTGCCAGGCTATCCCACCACGCCGCCCTCAGCGGAGAGCAGCGGACTGGCTCATGGTGATCCTGGCGATACTCCTGGCAGGGACCCAGCTACTCTTTGTACCGCCTCTGCACTGTACCTAGTGCCCAGACCCACAGTGATCAAGCACTAAAAACGGGATGAATGAACACACACATTAAGAACTG